CAGCATGAACCTGGAGTGACTATCATTGTTCTGTCTTTAAAACAAAACTCAAGAAAAAAACAAAACAAGAGAAAGACCGTGTGTGTAAAGAGAAGAGCGACGCTATGATGGCATTGGAGTGTCATCCTCTTTTTCCTGCCGCAATGAATGACTGAATGAAATGGCCATTAACATATGAAATAAATGTTAGCAAACTGTCAGAACGAGCACCGTTGTGCTGTAAATGATCTCCTGTGAACTGTGAAAAGCATTGACTTGAAATACTGCGTGTGTTCCTCATACAGGCTGCCCTGAACTTTCAGTGTAACGACCCCAGGGAGTCCTCAAGTCTCCTTGCCTTGCACCGCCGGCTAGATCTGAAAACACGGACAAGGCACTTAAACGCGTGCTTGTGTGTGTGTGTGTGTGTGTTCTAGTGCTCTGCTACGGCATTAGTGTTGCTTCCTATGAAAAACAGAAAAAAAGCAATGTCTTACCTCTAAGAGCCCTTCAAATCATTCAAATGCATCTTTGTAGGTTGAGCTGAAAGATTACTACAGCTTCAAGTTAAGCTTCATTAGTACAACTCACACTCGGATATAGTGTTGTTTTTTAGGATCACTCACTCTAATATTAAATCTTGAAGTGTAACTAATGATTCCTCAAATCATGTGTCTTGAGACGACGTGCGCCATTACTGATCTGATTTTTTACAAGGAAAAAAATCCCACAGATGCACACTGAAGACAGGACCGATGCATCATGCAATGCATTAAAGCAGATAATCGTATAGCAAAACACTGAAAAAAACACCCCAGCAACCTCATAGCTACTCACTAAAATCTACCCAGAACACCCTAACAACCACATAAAAATACATTTAAAATCACCCCCCACCCCTCAAAAAATTACCCTAGCAACATGCTTAAAAAACACCCTAGCAACCACATAACAACATCCTAAAAAGCACCCAAAACAACCACTCAGCATAGCATTAACAGCAGTACGTTTCACACAGGCAATCAGCACTCGTTTTCTTCAGAAAACTGTAAAATCCAGTCATTTGTTCTTGCTGTCAGGGGTCGCATTCACTGCGCACAGCTACAGCACAAACACACAACTGACATGCATTAAAACCCAGACACAAAAGGAAATAGAAAAGCTCTTCCGAGTCTTAATGTAGTATAATGCACTGATGCTAATTCTCTTCCTCTGAAAGCCTGAACACGTCATTCCTCATCCCGAGCTCAGAAAAGCATCCTTTATTTCTGCCAGCAGCACATGGAGCCCGTGATACAGCTTCAGAGGCCAGATCTCTGAGAGATTTCACCGAGAAAGCACCTGACGACTGGAGAAATGAAAAGAGACAGAGGTTTGTTTGAGAATAAAGAGAGAGCGCTTGTATTTTAAGACGAATTTTCCCTGAAGGCTGGAGAGACAGGCAGAGAGGTGAGGAACTATCAAACGTGTGAACTATACATGTGTCGAATGCTTTATAGGAGTTAAAAGACCAAGCGAAACATTCCTCCAAAAACCTGAAGTAAAACTTCCTGTTTCTGTCAGATTTCTTTCAGTGGCTCATATTCCGGAGTGAAAAACCGTGTAATGGTACATGCATGTGGAAGAAGTCTACAGAAATCACTTTTAACACAGCAAGATTGTTGCAAAATGGCAACTTACAGGGATAATATAAGAAGTCCTCCCAAAAATTTAAAATAGCAACCCCTCAAGCTGTTTCAAACCCATACAGAGCAAGATTATAAGTAAATAAAGATACTAAGTTGCTGAAGTTTTTTTTTTTTTTTGCCATTTTGGTCACCATTCACTTGCACTGTAAATAAAGAACAGCTTGGACATTCTTCAAAACGTTTTCTTTCCAAAACATGGAAGAAAGAAAAATTACAGGTTTGGATCAACGCAAAAAATAAAAAAATATATATTTGAGGGAAAAAGGATATTTAATGAGAAAAAATATATACAATTTATATACATATAAATAAATAAAACAACAACAACATCAAACTAAAGCCATCAAAAAAAAAGTTTGTTATTTGAAATAAAACAACAAAACAAATATCATTATATCTCTCATTTTAATTTAGTTTAACTTGACTTACTAAAATAACTAAAACTGGAAATAATAATAATGATAAATATAGACATGTTAAAAAATATGAATATTAATATAATATTAAAATGAAAACAGAAATAAAAACTCAAAATATTAATAAAAACTATAAGAGTCTCAATGATACAGAAATAACCTCTCTCTCTCTCACTCTCTAAATTATACATCTAAAACGCTTATTTTTCTCTCATTGAATATCGTATTAAATATTGCATAAACAAATACATATATTTCTGACCGTTTTATATTCATACTTAGGTGTAATACTAATGATGTCATCTTTGGCCACGCCCTAGTGAATACAGAACCAATCAGAAGCTTCCATTCATCAATACTGCTGTACTCAGCACAATAACATACTAATAACAAATAACAAAGTTTTACAGATTTTTTATGTCTGGTAGAGAGCTGCAGATATGTGCTCAGATCAATACATTACACCACAGTACAGATCAATACGGCACAGAACTGCAGAATCACATGAAGTTTATAGCCTGTAAATTAGATACACAGTACAAAACGAGCAAGAGCACACACCATTTACCCTACTAAAAATAAATCACAAACACCTCAATTATTTCTCACAGACAGCAATGAGACTCAATCATTCTTCTAAAGTCTGCTGCTTTCCAGTTAAACTCAAGTGAACAAATCTTTTCTGAAACTGAATCAAAAGTCAGATATCTCAATAAAAACTCCAATATTTCTCATCAAATTCTTCAAACACTGACTGATCTGAGCTTACATTTTATAGCTCTGTACTCTTACTGTATGACAACTGTTGACTATTTTTCTTCTAAGGAACTTGAGGAACAACATCAAAAAGTTGATTCTTAAATGAAGCATTTAAATCTCCAGAGCTATAAAAGAGCAACCTTTGAGCTCTAAAATCATCTTCTGGGATGCTACACAAACATATTATATTCATTCTGGTTCTTCCCATTGGAATTTCTCAGTACAACTGCGTTTACTCAAGAAGTAAAGCTGGCAAATAGTGAGAAAACTCTGCTGGGCGTCTTTAAAGGAAACAGAGGCTCCAGTCAGAGCAAACTGTGAAGGCCTGGCTGATATCTAACCCTGCTGTTCAAACACACACTAATCCTGCCGTTAGATTCATAGCATAGTGTGAAGCTCGACTACAGCACGCCGACCCGTGCTCTGCTGGAAACTGATCCCAGATCAGCACTCTCACCTCTGACTGAATGATAGAAATCCATTCCGCCTGACTCAGAAAAATGGGAACTTTGAGAAAGATCTTGCCATTCTTGTGTGCATCAGATGGTCAGAAAGCATTTAAAAAATATGAATTAACCCGGTAAAGCCTGACGTATAAATTAATAGTTATTTTAATAGAAGTAATAGTTTAATAGTTAATAGAAGAAAAAGGCTTGCACATGTGTTTTTTGTTGAGTATCATATTTAGACATCATATATAATATAATATGTGACCCTGGAGCACAAAAGCAGTCTTAAGTCGCTGGGGTATATTTGTAGCAACAGCCAAAAATACATTGTATGGGTCAAAATTATAGATTTTTTTTTATGCCAAAAACCATTAGGATATTAAGTAAAGATCATGTTCCATGAAGATATTTTTTAAATTTCCTACCGTAAATATATCAAAACTTAATGTTTGATTAGTGATATGCATTGCTAAGAACTTCATTTGGACAACTTTAAAGGTTATTTTTTTTATCAATATTTAGATTTTTTTGCACCCTCGGATTCCAGATTTTCAAATAGTTGTATCTCGAACAAATATTGTCCTATTATCCTAACAAACAAATTGGGTCACATATAGTACATCGTATATAGTATAATATAGTGAGAATATGGAGGAAAAAAACACCCCAATTTTATTCAGATGCCCAAACTGAGCAAAAATATGCAATTTGGTGCAGAAGCTGATATTAATATGGCCAAAAAGTAAGATGAAATTCTGATGCTAGGAATTTAAATCAATGCAATCTTTCTGAGAGTATAGCAGATACTTACACTAAATTATATAAATATGTATTGTCACTCTATATCTGCTAATAAAATGTCTTAGTAAGAATTTATTTAAATGCTTAGTTTTATGATCAAAGCTCTGTAGTTTCAAAAATATTGCAATGCAATACAATGATGATTGAGGGATGTACAAAGAAACATTTCTCAAAAGCTCACATTTGAACATGAAAAAACCATGTATGGATATAGTCAAGTAAATCCAAGTTGCTTCAGTCCAGTAAGTAAACTTTTTGAAATATTACTAACAATATAAATGTTTACTTTATATATGTGACCCTGGACCACAAAACCAGTCATAAGGGTACATTTTTTTTAAATTGAGATGTATACATCATCTGAATAAATAAGCTTTCCATTGATGTTTGGTTTGTTAGGATAGGACAATATTTGTTCGAGATACAACTATTTGAAAATCTGGAATCTGAGGGTGCAAAAAAATCTAAATATTAATAAAATCATCTTTAAAGTTGTCCAAATGAAGTTCTTAGCAATGCATATTACTAATCAAAAATTAAGTTTTGATATATTTACGGTAGGAAATTTACAAAATATCTTCATGGAACATGATCTTTACTTAATATCCTAATGATTTTTGGCATAAAAGAAAAATCTATAATTTTAACCCATACAATGTATTTTTGGCTATTGCTACAAATATCCCCCAGCGACTTAAGACTGCTTTTGTGGTTTTTGTTTCAGCAAAAAGACATGTGAACCACGACTCACACTTAAAGGCCTTTAACTTGCTAAAAAGGTATAAACTATCAATCAGACGACAGAAGGCATGTAGTTTGGATTAATGCAGTTTAGAATTTTGCGTATCAAATTTGATACAGTAGACTTAAGATGTCATTTATGAACCTCGACGGCTTGGTTTTCATACCTGCCACTGTGAGGCGTGCGGTTCGGCTGCTGATGGTGCCCAGGTTGTCGATGGTGGCCACGCACTGGTACACCCCCTCATCAGGCTTATTGTGTTTGGAGTGGACCACCGCACTGATGAGCAAAGAGCCGTCGGCTAGCTGCTGCTTCCGGTCGTCCGCTACCAGGTTCAGGAACGTTCCATCCTTCTTCCATTCCACCCTCACCGGAGCGTCGCTAGCGGCCAAGCAGTTCAGGACAGCAGGGAGCCCGCGAACGGCCAGCGTGTCGACGGGTTCAACGGAGAACCTGAACGGGGTAAAGCCTCGAATGTCAGAACCTGAGGACAGAAAAAAAGAACGTGTTAGAGGATCCGCAGACTATCTGATGCATGAAATGCATTTTAGCACTTTAAAAGGATAGTTCATCCAAAATGAAAGTTTTGTCACCATTTACTCACCCTCAAGACCTTCAAAATGCAAATTAAAGGGTTAGTTCACCCAAAAATAAAAATTCTGTCATTAATTACTCGTTCCAAACTGGTAAGACCTCTGTTCATCTTTGGAACACAAATTAAGATATTTTTGATTAATTCTGAGAGCTCTAATAATCCAATAATAATCTGTAAAATAATCCATGTGACATCAGGGGTTCAACCGTAATTTTACGAAGCGACGAGAATACTTTTTGTACGCAAAGAAAACAATAATAACGACTTTATTCAACAATTCATCTCCTCTACGTCTCCAAAATGGCACCAGGAGGAGACGAATTGTTGAATAAAGTCGTTATTATCGTTTTCTTTGCGTACAAAAAGTATTCTCGTAGCTTCGTAAAATTATGGTTGAACCCCTGATGTTACATGGATTATTTTACCGATCTCCTTGCCATGTTTCTGATATCCCAATTCATTATTCTAAACCATTCATGGGTTAGAGTCCCTCACCTTTCTGCTGTGAAACAGCTAAGGAAAACACCTCTGGGAAAAGTTATAAAGCAACACAATTGCCTGACGTTTACAGTGATGTATAATTAAAAAATATAACAGTGTTCAGCCACGAACTCGCACTGTTCAGACAGTACTAATGGCCAATTATCTGCACCAGTGGTGTTGTGCAAAAACAATTACGGCAAGACTTTGCGTAACGTAGCAAGCTGCTTCATACTTTAATTACGTAGGAAATGACAAGCTTCTCATGTTTGACGCAAAGCACAGAATACATAACAATCTGAGACAGAAGCTAATGTGTTCACCGCCTGCTTGTCATGCAAGCTAATTTGGTCCTAAAAATATGTTTTTACCTGAGAAACAGATGCAAAAAGAACAATTATTTATGTCATAAACCATTCACAGATTAGCAACTTTAATGACGCCATTTAATTCCTTTATTGACTTTAGCTGGAAAAATGACTTGCATTATTGACAAACTATTTTCCTGTTGACTCTGTAAAGCTGCTTTGACACAATCAGTATTATATAAAGCGCTATACAATTAAAGGTGACTTGACTCCGTTTCATTTCCAATGTACTGAAGATGAAAAACTAACAATGAATCTTTCACTTCAAGCTTTAACACAAGTTTAGGAAAACAAGGAATTAGAGTCACTGTGGAAAGTTGAAAACCATTCAAACTGAAAAGCGCTCAAATCTTGACATGCAAACTTATGTACTTGCATTTTCTCAATCTAAAAAGGGACCGTGCATCGCTAAGCAAAGCCACAGTTGCATAATTGTAGAGAAGCCAGCTGGGAAACATTTGGACTGATGTGGGCAAACGCGCCCCTGTTTGTGGCTTTTTATGTTTGTCACGGGCTGGCTGTGAGTAATCATATGGAGTCCAGAATTGCTTTTGTAGGGCAACAGTGATGCATCCTTGACCCAGAAGCCCCGAGACAGCCAGAAAATGAGGCTGTTGGGTTGATAAGTATAAGCTGTTAGCCTTAGTCTGCACACTTTGAGGAAAACCCACTTCAAAACCGCCTCAGTCAGCGAGACCTCTCAGAAAGGGGCAAGGGCTCTCCAGGGAAATGGCGCACTAGTGAATGAGAGATACTGACACATACAAAGACTGAAAGAGAACGAGAAGTGGCCTAGAACGGCTGGGGAGGAAAGACGGCGGAGATACAAAAACAAAATCAAGGAAATCGGTTAAAGTGTCACATATTATTTCCTTCCTCTTTCTAACGGACCATGACAGGCTTCAGTTTGACAAACTGTTGCATTGTGGGAATACACGAGCGGCGCAGAGACGATGAGCGTGAAAGGAAACACAATGACGCTTGAGGAGGCGACACAAGCGGGATTTGTCATCTCTAGGGCCCTTCATAGCTATGTAGCCATCAGCTGAACATTAAATGCTGTAGTTGCACAGCTTACTTAAAATTATAAACCCAAGAAAACAAACCAGCAGACAAAATTACGCTTACATAACATCATTTGGCAGAACTGAAATGTGAAATGTGTAATTTACGCACCTCAATTGGCACCAAAAACACTTAAAATATATATATTTTTTTAATGTAGAAATCATGATGATTCATCAATTTATTCTGAAACCACACAGACACCAAATTAAATTTAATTACAATAAATTACAATAATAAAAAAAATATATATATATAAAATAAAATAAAAAATTTAATTAAATTAAATTAAAAATACAATAAAAAATAATGCACTATTTATTTATTAGTCATTTTTTTTGCTATGTAATTAATTTAGTTATTATATTATATGAATTAAACATACATTAATACATATTCAATAAATAAGCATTAATAACATATAAAAAATGATAATAAAAATAGTCATATTAGACACTGAAGTTATTAATATTTATACAAAATATTATATATAAATATTTATAAATAAACGAATTTATAAAATACAATGAATAAATTGTCTAGCTACAGCAAATTAAATATTTTTATTTGCTATATAATTATTAATATAACATTAATTATATTGATTAATCATATTAATTAATAAACATTTAATTAATAATCATTAATAACAAAAATAGATAAAATGTTGCTTGATACTAAAGTTATTATAATATTTATACATAATACTTAAAAACAATAATATTCATTTGTATTAGTTTATAAATTAATTAACTTGTAAAAAAATAAAAATAAAATAAATGTTTAGTCTAGCTACAGCAAAAGCTTGTTGGCTGACCTGCCAAAGTTAAACAACGCAAATATTACTTTTCCCTCCATCGGGTGCGCAAGCAGTGAAAAGCACACCTAACCAACCCCTTAGCCCACTCAATACACCACTGGGCTAAGAGTCAACTGAGTCAACACCTCTCAGTGTTAAGGTGAGAAGAGACAATGCTGAAGAATGCGTTGGCTAATAGAGGCAGTCGTGCCTCA